TTCATTAAAATAAAATTTTCTATCACATCAATAACTTTTTCTTCTTTTTCAACCACAAATTCTCCATCAATTTACTATTCCAGAATACATTCTTCCAAAATAATGTGGATCAAACACACCTTTAATTGTGGAAAAACAATTTCAATATGAATGAGAAATTATGAAAGTTGGACAATAAATAAGAGGAATAAATTGGAAAAATGTTACAATCTCATATAGGTTTCAAACAAAACCTTGAACCATTTAATAAATTTCAAGTTTGGAAATGAGTTTGGACCCAAGGGGTACCAATAGCCTTTGAAAGGGGGAGTTTTAGACAAGATTTAGACTAATCCAAAGGCCACACAGGCGCCCGCCGCCATCCGACCCACCGGCAAGCCGGCACGAGCTCAGGTCGTGGACATGGGCCGGACCTGTGTCAATATTAATTTTTTTAGACAAAATTTATTTAAATTTTTATGTGAATTCAATTAATTCTCTCTCTTTNCACTTAATAAACTTCAAGTTTTGAAGTGGGTTTGGCCCCAAGGAATAGTCTTTGAAGGGGGGAGTCTTAGACAAGGTCTATTCTAATCCAAAGGCTACACGCGCGCACTATCGTCCAACCGGCACGAGCTCGAGCTCAGGTCGTGGGCGTATGTCAATATTAATTTAAATTTTTATCCGAATTCAATTAATTATCTCTCTTTGACAGTATATTAACCATTCCATCAGTTTGTTAAAACCATACATTAAGTGGGCGTGAGTTGAGAATTGTATGGAAACTGTTCAACCGTCAACTCTCTCCTCTATTTAAATGGTCCTCAGGCTTTCATCTAAATATACAAAAAAATCACAAATTCATTCGGTATACATACTCTTCTTCTCGTTGGTCCTTTCTGCATTAGTCGATAGAGGGCCTAGTTCTCGCTTCGATCATCCTTATTCCGAATTCTGGTCTTACTTATGCATTTTGTTCTTACTGTTTTGTAATTGTCAATCTTTTTTAGCAAGTCATCTTCTGAAAATTTTATTATATGCAACCAAAGAAAATAACAATCTTAAGATGTTTTTTACCCCCATCACACGGTGTTTATGGTATGTGGTAAAGCGTCTCCCAAGTGAGCCAGTTTATATTACCAAGTTTTTGTTTGAGCGAAAAATATATTTTTGAATAGTGATTTTCGGAGAATGTGTGGTTAAAAATTAAGAATATTTTTGATTTACGTGTAATACTATTTTATTGAAAAATGTGTTATTGAAAATGAGTTTTGAAAAAAAAAAATTCCAAAAAAGACTCAAACAACCCCAAATATAAAAAAGATTAGAAGACTGCAAAATAATTGTGAATTAATTAGTGCAAATGTTGACAAATTCATTTCGTATTAAAATAATGTCTATTCAAAGTTCAACAACGTTAAAGGAATAGACCAATCCACTAACTTCCCACTCCCGTCTCCCGACCAACCTTCCCATATATAATATACCTCATTCATTCCCATATATAATATACCTCATTCAGTTCACCCTTTCATTCAATTCCATCCCATTTTCACCCAATCCACTAGTCTTTTTCACACAGTGCCCATAACCTGAACTTCGCAACTCCTTCACGCCCAATAACCGATTTATTTTAAATAAATTTAGAGCAAGATCACAACCTCTTTGGGATTAGGTCAAGATTTTCAAATATGCAGGCAAGTCTTGAAGAGAAGGAATTCCCACGTCAAGATTATTATTCAGAAGCTGCCGGAAATATGACCGAAATTTTTTCTACTAAGCTGAAACTCCCCGGAGATCCACGAGATGATGATGATGTTGCAGAAGAAGAAGAGAATGAGGAGGAGTTTACTTTTGTGTGTGGAGCAAATACATCGTCAGTAACAGCAGAAGATGCATTTGTTGACGGCCAAATCAAGCCGGTTTTCCCATTATTCAACAGGGATTTGTTGCTTTCCGATGGAAACTCGCCGTTGATGCCACCAGTGAAGAAGGTTTTTGTAGAAACAAAGAATGACGAAGGTAACGTGATGTCTTCCTCTTTGGAAAATGATGACATCTCGGGACCGTATTGTGCAAGAAAGGCGGTGGAGGCATCGTCGGGGGTTTGCAAGAAGAGTAACTCAACTGGGTTTTCCAAGATTTGGAGGTTTAAGGATTTTATGGGGAGGTGTAATAGTGATGGAAGAGATGCATTTGTTTTCTTGAATAACAGCAATACGACACCGGCCAAGGCAGCCACACCGTCGACTGTAGTGGCGGGGAGCGTGAGGAGGGAGGAGAAGGAGGGTGGTGGTGGTGGTGAGAAGAAAGAATCAACGGTGAAAGTGAAGAAGATTCAAAAGAATAAAACGGCGTCGTTATCAGCTCATGAGTTGTATTTGAAAAGTAAAGCTAAAGATGGGGACCGGCGGCGATCATATTTGCCGTACCGGCCGGAGTTGATGGGGTTTTTTACCAATGTTAGTGGTGGTGGGTTAACAAGAAATGTACATCCCTTTTGAGAAGTAATTAGGGCCATATTTAACTTTAATTGTTAGTCTTTTTAATTGAGTTTAATCTTGGGAGGAAATTTCTGGTAGTATTTGTTTGTGAAATATACATTGTAAAAAATCTACATTTATTTTTTTAACTCGTCATAAAAATATATTTATTGTCGACTTTATAATTTAAACTATAGTGTTACATTGCTAGAGAAATTAAAAGCTTCTGTTTTTGTTCGAATTGTACAAGAAAAAAAAAACTTGAGGTTTTAAAAGTTGACTATTGGAAAATCGCTTTTAGATAATTAACTTGTCCATGGATGGATAAGTTCAAAGAATTTACGAGCATAGAAGTAAGTTTTTGAGCCAATTTGGTGCACATTAAAATGAGAGAATGCATTTTTTTGAAGTGATGAGATGAAAAATATTTTGTTGAAAACGAAAGAAAAGTTATTGATGTGATGGAAAATATTATTTTATTGAAAAATCTATGGTTGAAAATGAGTAGAAAAATGAGAATGAAAAAAATAATATGGCTCAAACAGGGGCTTAGAATAAACGAAAATTCTGAAAAATTAAGGGATCGTTCTCTTCGTGTTTCAGTTTTGTATTTTGAATTTTGAATTCATTTTGTGTTTTCTGTTTTTAGTGTCCGTTTTGGAATTACTGAAAACTCGTTNTTTTGTGTTTTGTGTTGTGAATTCATTTTGTGTTTTCTGTTTTGAGTGTCTGTTTTGGAATTGTTGAAAACTTGTTCTCTTTGTCATTCTGAAAAACTATTTCGCAAAATAGAAAATTTGAAAACGCGTTTATTTTGAAATTTTAAGAATCTTTTTTATAATATTTTATTCAATAAATCTGATTATTCAATAAATTTTAGTAGTTTAATGTTAATCGATTGAAGAAAAAAATTAAGGAGGTAACAATGCTAAATTTCTCTCGTCTAATTCAAATACTTTGTCTTATTTCTGTGTCCAGAACAAAAAAAATGTATAAATTATCTTCATCACATTTTTCGTTCAAAGGTTACATAACAAGTAAAATAGAGTATTTTACAAATAAGTAATGACCAGTACAATTAATTCAACGAATTAACAAAAATTTTAGAACATATTTACATGAATAAAACCGAGTTGGATTTGCTTTCTACAATTGCTTTCTACAATTGTGTTCATTTGGATGTCGATATAAATTGA